TAGACACTCCTTGCCCTCATGGGCTACTTTGTTTCCTGGGGTTACAGAAGATTCACCTTGTTGCTAGGGCAAACTCTAAAGGGAAACATCAGAGTTAGTGGAGACACGGTTCCCCATTACATAGTCTCCTGGCTATTTATAACAAAGGGTAGAATTAAAATGAAGCTTTTTGGCTGACACCGCTCCCCACAAACAACACAATGTCAATCAACAAAATTTTAAACTTACCAATGAAGAAAAGCCCAGGTCCTGATGCTTTCACTGCTGAATTGTACAAGACATTTAGAGAAGAACTATTGCCACTATTGTTTAAACTCTTCAATGAAACTGAAATGGAAGCAATACTTCCTGGAAGGAAGCATCACTTTGATCCTCAAAAGAAGTGAAAGACCCAACTGAAAAAGAGAAGTATAGGACAATCTCCCTCATGAATATAGACACAAAATACCTCAATAAGATACTGGCAAACAGAATGCAAAAGATCATTAAGAAGATCAAACACCCTGACCAAGTGAGATTCATCCCAGGGATGCAGGGATGGTTCAACACATGCAAATCAATAAATGTAATACACTATATCAATAGAGCCAAGGACAAAAACCATATGATCATCTCAATAGATGCAGAAAAAGCATTCTATGAAATCCAACACCCATTCATGATAAGCACCCCACAGAAAATTGGAATAGATGGTCTCTACCTCACCTGATAAAAGCCATCTATGAAAAACCAACAGCCAACATCATACTAAATGGTCAAAAAGTGAAATCCTCCAGGCTAAAATCAAGAACAAGACAAGGATGTTCACTATCGCCACTCCTGTTCAATATAGATCTGAAAACATTATCCCAGAAATAAGATAAGAGAAAGAAATAAAAGGAATAAAAATAGGATATGAAGAAGTTAAATTATCATTGTTTGCAGATAAAATGATACTCTATATAGAAGACCCTGAGAACTCCACCCAAAGTCTTCTAGACTTAATAACAAAATTCAGTAGAGTAGCTGGATTCAAGGTCAACACACAAAAATCAATAGCCTTCCTGTACACAAACAACAGACTTACTGAGAGAGGAACTGAATAAACAACTCCTTTCACAGTAGCATCCAAAAGAAAAAAGAAAAGAAAAGAAAATTCTCAGTAATCAATCTAACAAAAGAAATAAAAGTTCTCTACTCTGAAAACTGTAGCAGTATGAACAAAGACATCAAAGAGGATATCAGAAAATGAGATGACATCCCTTGCTCCTGGGTAGGAAGAACCAATATAGTGAAAATGGCCATACTTCCAAAACTTCCAAATGCAATGCAATCTCAGTTGAAATTCTAACAGCATACTTCACAGAACTTTAGAAAACAATCCAAAAATTTGTTTGGAACCAGAAGAGACCCAGAATAGAAAAAGCAATTCTAGGCAAGAAAGACAAGCAGGGGATTTCACAATCTCCAACTTGAAACTATACTACAAAGCTACTGTGATAAAAACAGCATGGTACTGGCAAAGAAACAGGCCTGAGGA